ATATTATATTATTATATATTAAATATATAATATATTAAATCACGTACTACAATAATATATATGATTTGTTAAATATATAATATATTATTTATTTAATATGATATAATATATATTATATATTTAGTATAATATATAATAAAATGATGTGTGTATATATATAAATGAAGTCAGATATTTAATATAAGTTGTGTTGGGTCAAGTGGTTCGTAACTACTTGTTATATATATATGAGGTACAAGGTTCAACTCCTTCTTTTTACATTATTTTTGCAATTATGTAATTCTGCCATGTGTCTAATTTGCCACTCTGATACACCTGGTCGCCACGTCAGATTTCCGTTAACGACCGTTAAAAGCATGTACCATTTTGCCAAAAATGTAAAGGTCATGTATTTATTTGCCAAGGTCTAAAAGTCGTGATTAAATTGCCAAACACGTAAGGTCGGGTTCAAATCCTTCTTTTTACATTATTTTGCAATTATGTAATTCTGCCATGTGTCCAATTTGCCACCTGATCGCTGACTCGGATATACCTGGTCGCCACGTCAGATTTTCGTTAACGGCCGTTAAAAGCATGTACCATTTTGCCAAAAATGTAAAGGTCATGTATTTATTTGCCAAGGTCTAAAAGTCGTGATTAAATTGTCAAACAGAAACTTAAATACAAAGAATAATATTATGACGTGTAGGATTTGGAATCGTGCGAGCCTGCCACATTTTTAATTAATATATATATAGGGGAAGGAGATAATAAATTCAATCTCTAGTTCTCTACAGCTCTATTGTTCCAACTCCAAAAGGTTAAAACCTGGAACACTCTTTGGAAAACAATATTATGTTCTTATGCGAGTAAAGAGACTATCTTCTGTTTCTCCCTCCTCTTGGTATCCCCTTTTACAAGGTAATCATGCTTGCCTGCTTCGAAATTTTAATTGATAGTTGCTTTCTCTGCTGACGTTGTTGGGCATAGGGTTTAACGAACTTCCGAATTAATTACTGTCACCCGCTCTTAGTAATAAATTTGTTTTTCGGTTCTGTGTTTGATTAAGTTGAAGTACCTGAATGGCGGGAGGTGGTGCAGCTCCTGGTGCGGCGGGGGCCACCGTGAGAATCGTGGTTGCCGGAGATGCAAAAACGGGGAAGTCGAGTCTGATACTTACGGCAGCCGCAGAGAATTTTCCGAGCAATGTGCCGCCGGTTCTGACGCCCACAAGGCTTCCGGAGGACTTGTACCCAGACCGTGTACCTGTCACCATTATTGATACTTCGTCCAGGTTATTGAGACAGTGCCTCTGGTTGTCTGTGCTAGTTTTTTTGGTTGGAACTTGTGGAGATATTCTATATTAGGTTTATCATAGTTCGCACAGATGATTTTTGGGTTAGTATACAGAGTTTGTGTGTACAGCTTGCCGTGGTTGTGCTTCATGATTGTCAAATTCTGATTCTTTTATCTCTGAAAAGGAATTAAAAAATTTGTAGTTGGAGAGTCGGTACATTTGTATACGTCTTTCTATGCTTCTTTATGTAGTCTGATGCAAGAAACTATATTATGGCGTATGCGGCACAAATGGTGGAAAAAACAAAAATCATAAGTTACAGAATATATAATTGAGTTTTCATATATACTATTGTTAATTGGTGTATATTAATTGGTTTTTCATATATATTATTGACGTCTGTGAGCATACTCTCATGCTAACTTTTTCCATGTTTAGCTGAAATCAGAAACTTTTCTAACAGATTAAAATTGTTCTTTGATATCCATACCCGCCTTATGAACACGTTCACCAATTATGGCGTGCAGGTGTATGTTGTTATAGATTTGTGATTGCATGAGCGTATACTTTTATATGGGCTAATTGATAAAATTTGAGTTTATCTTGGTGAAAAATGTGATTCTCATGTTGTACTGCATGGTTTCTGTTTATATTGCCTATGCTTTTGTCTGTACAAATCTTTTTGTTTACCTTGCAATTATGGCAAGTTTGATATAATGTTGTTGATCCGTTTGAATGCAGCCCTGAGAATAAAGGTAAGCTTGTTGAAGAACTGATGAGAGCTGATGCAGTTGTTCTAACATATGCATGTGATAGGCCCGAAACACTTAAAAGATTAAGCACGCACTGGCTTCCTGAACTTCGACTATTAGAGGTGACATTCTTAAAACCTTGATTGTACATAAGTTTCTTCAGCTCAGATGATGTTGTGATTCTCGCACAATATTCCAGGTTACCTTTTTCTGAAATTTCCTTGTGAAATTCGTTCTATACATGTCTTGGCAGGTTAATGTCCCGGTTATTGTGGTGGGTTGCATGCTAGATAAGAGAGGTGACCAACAATCTGTTAGTCTGGAGCAGGTTATGTCACCTATAATGCAGGAGTTCCGGGAGATTGAAACTTGTATTGAATGTTCTGCTGTAAATCATATTCAGGTCAAGTACTGATATCTGAGTTTGGTACATATCAGAGATAGTTGCTGTGTTACACCATGTCTACCAATGATGGCAGTCTTATCTTATTCTCAGGCAGATTTGCTAGTTTGTTTCTTGATTATTGATATATTTCATTTACTTTCTTTTATTCCTTGTTAATACAAGGAAACTTCATAATTAAATAATGATTCCATATCCTGCTTATTGTTATATATGCTAATTATAAACAAGGCAAAGGCGGACATGTACGAAACTACAAATTATTTATTGTAGTTGTTCTCTTCTTGCAGATTCCTGAGGTTTTCTACTATGCACAAAAAGCTGTGCTTCATCCCACAGCTCCACTATTTGATCAGGAGCAACAAGTTCTCAAACCTAGGTGTGTGAGGGCTTTGAAAAGAATCTTTATTCTTTGTGATCATGACAGGGATGGCGCCCTCAGCGATGCTGAGTTGAATGAATTTCAGGTCTGTCTTGTATTTTTGAGATTGTTTTGTTACAGTTAATATGGGTGCCTATGATATAGGATCAATAACTTTCACGATGTTTAGCCTATTTTGGTAACCAACAATCTGACACGAATTAGTAATACATGCAGGTTAAGTGTTTCAATGCCCCACTACAACCATCTGAGATAGTGGGTGTTAAAAGGGTTGTGGAAGAGAAATTGCGGGAAGGTGTCGATGCTCGTGGTCTGACATTGACAGGCTTTTTATTTCTCCATGCTCTTTTCATTGAGAAGGGGCGTTTAGAAACTACATGGACTGTGCTAAGGAAATTTGGATATAACAATGAAATTAGGCTTCGCGACGATCAATTACCACCTCCAATAAAGAAATATCCTGACCAGGTAATTTTCCTTTGGACAAGCAACAAGTGTTAACAATGTTCAGCAGAGGCTATTGTTTGGAATATCTTTTCTGCCAAGTTCAGAATATTTCAGCTGTATATGCTTTTAATTTGTTTCATCTTTTTATTATTCACTTCAGTTTGTCAAAGTTATTTCAAATTCCTATTGTTTAGTTGTATGGAATTCACTAAAGGTAGGTGTGCGTGTTTATTTATTTAAAATGATTTGCAATGATCACCTCCTTTAATCTTGGATATTGGGGGTTTATTTTCTCGTAGTTTATGCACCTGCGGTCTAGTATCTCTAGGCTTCAAAGTATAATGGCTGCTTACAATTGCCATGATAAATTTATGATTTATGTAGTTTCAGAATTTTGTTGCACTGTTATTGTTGCCACTTGCCACCTCCAGCCATTAGTTATTAACTAGGACTTTTAGTGATGTTTCTCTCATTTCACTTGATAAAAAAAAATGTTTTCTTTTTGAATAGTTACCTGGTTTGTATCAAATAACGCAACATATTTGCTGAGATCAAGAGAATGCTAGTTGTAGGCCATCTTTACAATTTCCTGAACGTTGATTTCCATCTCATTCCTAGTTTCTAAAACAAGGTAAGAGAATCTTGGTGTTATATGTCATGTATCTTTTTTGTTCAAATCTGTTATGTATTCTGCTCTTTTGAATTTCCATCTTTATATACGTCTAATCCTGAATTATCATTTGTCTAGAGTGTGGAGCTAACAAATGAAGCTGTGGAGTTCCTCAAAAGGATCTTCGTTACGTACGATGTTGATCGTGTATGTAAATCCTTTTTGTGTTGTTTAATCGGAAGTCCTATTTATAGTTTATTCTTAAATCAGTTGAAAGTCCCAAAGTGTTGATTATTGGTTTTAATGATCATTAGGATGGAGCTCTTCGATTTGCTGAGCTTGAAGATCTGTTCTCAACTGCACCCGAAAAGTAATTTATTCTGTTTTTAGATCTTTTCACGGCTTTTTGTTTAAACCAATATAATGCCTTTCAATTCCAAAGGTGTTTCAGCAAGCATTATAAATTTCAATATAAATTAATGTTTCAATGAATATGAAGAGCTTCTTCAAATTTGTTTTGGATCTATTAGCTTGCTGGAACATCTATATATATAATTGTTGGCATGTAGCATTTAATAAAATATTTAATAAAACCTTTTCGGTTACAAAATTTGTCATTAATATTTACTTCTCACATTAATACATCTTAATGAGTGTAATCATGTATGTTCTATTATATTATATAATATTATTGTTAATACCAACTAATAATAATTCACAATAAATATAAATTACATAATTATAAAAAATTGTTTCAAGTTATGTATTTTAACATCAATATTATCTTTTTCTTTTGTATCTCATAAAGAAATTTCTTCAAAAACAATTAGTAAATTGTTTTAATAGCATAGTTAAACAATTTTAGAATCTTATAAACAATTATTTTTTAACATATATATATATATATATACTAGTACAACACCCGTGTATTACACGGGTGCTTGCTAATTTTTTTTCTTAAAATTTAAAATTAATGAGATAAAGTAGTCTGAAAATTTAAATACCTTTTATAAAAATATATATATTATTATATATTTATTATGATATTTTTTATTTGTGTGACTTACTTGTGTTATATTATATTAATTTTTTAACTTACAATATATAACTACATTAAATATAAAT